TAATATNTATNTATNTNTATATATATTAATNNTAATTAATATAATATAATTATATATANAATATAATATATATATATATATATAATATAATATATATAATATATATATATATATATATATATATATATATATATATATATATATATATATATATATATATATATATATATATATATATATATATATATATATATATATATATACATATATATATATATATATATATATATATATATATATAGATATATATATTGGCATATATATATATATGTGTGTGTGTGTGTGTGGGGTTTGTGTGTATGCGCTGAGTGTCGGTTTGGTTGTGCTATCTTGTCTGTTTTCTACGTTAAACTAATTTGGATACGTCTATTTTCTGTAATAGTTTTATGGAGATTTCAATCTCGGTCATTCATTTTTGCGTACGTACATAACTACTGGCTGGACCTGGCTGGGAGAGCTTTTATGTTTTCAGAACAAATTTCTACCATGACATTTCTATAGAAAACTGTGTGGACTAACTTTTTGAAGTGCAGCTCTCTTATGAAGCACTTCGCGCGTAATATTCGAAAACTTTGTTTGCTCATGTCGGTCACTAACTTAAATCTGCTCTTCCTCCCTTTGCTTTGTTGCACCCTTACTGCGTGCTATGAAACAACCAATACCATGAATGTGTTGTATGTATTGTTGTGTTGGACTTGTCGTATGTGTTTTGTCGTACATAACATGTTCGGTGTTACCTCATGACTATGTTTTGTGTTAATTCCGTTCTGTTATTGTTTGACGTTGCACCCTGTCTATCGTACTTTGTGTGTGATGTTTATGGGTCTGTGATCCATGCAGAGTCTCTCCCTATACTCGATAAAGGCCGTCATCCTGATGGACAATGACGGGAACCGCATCATCGCAAAGTACTACGACGACACATTCCCCACAGCAAAAGAACAACTGGTCTTCGAGAAGAGTCTGTTCAACAAGACGTGTCGACAACATTGTATGTCGTTGAGAATGACTGTCCACCTGTTTGCGTTGCCTTATGACTGTGTGCTATTTCGTTACCCTGGGATGCAATTCAGTGTGCCATCCCCAAAGTATTGTGATCTTTTATATATACTTTTATTAGTGCTGTGTCCACCTATAATAGGCTTGTTGGATATTGCGCCCGTGTGCTCCTATAGTCAAGTGACAGCTGCCCCGTATAGACAAATGGCTTTGCTTAAGAGAAGCACACCTGCCTATGTACCTCATTCGCTTGACATCAGAGTATTCGTCGTTTGCCTCAATCATAAGCCCGGCTCCTGGAACACTTCCCTTTTGCACTGTAGTCTGGTCTGCGACTCTCACTCTCACCACTTGTCTTTACTTAACCTTTTGCGACTATCACGACTTGTTTTTTTACTTTTCCTTTGGCCACTATATTCTTACCTGACCTCAGCCGAGATTGTGATGTTCGATGGACTGACCACCGTGTACCGCAGCAATGTTGATCTGTTCTTCTACATCGTGGGATCGTCTGACGAGAACGAGCTAATGCTCATGAGCGTACTATCCACATTCTACGATGCCGTGGCTATATTATTAAGGTATTTTTGGTACATGCTTCCAGAGCGGGTGATTTATACTCGACACACTAATTGAGCCTGAGAGATGTAGTACCGTTTTCGTTCTCTCGGTTTGGTTTAACCCGTCCCGCTATATCTGTCACTGCAGAAATCAAGTTGAGAAGAGGCTAGTTTTCGACAACTTAGACGCCATATTCTTGGTCGTGGACGAGATGGTTGACAATGGGTAAGTGCTGAACTGGAGTGCGTGCAAGACTATCTGATCTCTTTGAGTATGAAAGCGAATAGCTAGGCATAACTTGAAGGATATGTGCACCTTGTACTTCCAACTACCCTGATCAAGGATACGGCGATCCCTTCACAGTTGAGGATGATTGTTTATTCACTTTGGCTATAGTTGGCATCAGGTGATACTACATCGTGATCCTTACTAATGTGATTGCCGCTCACTGCACTAGCTACCGTCGCTACAGTAAAGCTTATTTTTAGGTTCAGAGTTTTTTTTGTTATTATTGAGCTCGATTTTTTTTCCTCTGTAGTATTGTGTTCGAAGCCGATGGATCTATCATTGCCTCCCGGGCGATTGTGCGTGGTGGCGAAGATATCTCGCTTGCGGAACAGAGCATCTCACAGGTATGACAGACTTCTATGAATATTCCTATGCAGCTTAGTAATCTCATGGCATAGTTTAAGTTTTATCCATTGCAAAATAGTGCTATCCTGTCGTATACAATATCCGACAGTCCCAAATTGGCGGGAAAAAAAGTAATTATGAGCAAATAGAAAAATGCTAATTTGCTCAGAAACACCACGATTGGAAGCACAGACGAAAACAAAACGCGAGTCGTGAGTTCTAAACCTCTCCCAACTGTGTACTATAGTCTACTCACTGCAAGTGCCTTATCCGTTCCTATCATACTGCATATATTCACACACGTTGCTTCCCGCTATCACAGGCTTTCCAATCCGCGAGGGACCAATTGGTAACGACGCTTCTAAAGTAAAACTAGCTGGTACGGCACTCTGGTGGGTGTGAGGCCGGAACTGATGGATTTGTTGATAACTCTGACCTGTGCTGCCGTACACGTCCGCCGAGGGTAATCTCGTTTCACTGCATAGCCCCGGTACGCAATCCGACGAGACGATACACACAGACACGCCCAAACACGCCAACAGAATACATAAAGAGTGACTCGTTGATCGTAGTCGTAAACGGGTTGGAGTCCATAGATACTCGCCGGGAGTTAGTGCCGACCCCGATGACTACGACAAAACTTCTGTACAGACTATCCAATTAGCCGACACATAAACATCTAAACGTCTTTCATTCAAATTATTCATTTTTGTGGCTCGTTTCTGTTTCTAAGCTTGGTTAGAGCGGTGCTGTACAGCTGTTTGCCTTTACAAATGGGAAAGGTGGGTCGACAGATATGGGGACTAGGCTTAAGAACTGGAACAAGCTGCCCATCCCTTCGTTGTCTATCAGCCGTTTCGTACTGCGGATTATCTTGACTTGCTCCTCCCGCGTTTGGCTGGACTGGACCATTTGCTGTCGATGTGTTATTAGAAGATTTGAATTGTCACTGCAATATTAATTTGACTAGATATACTCTAAAAATGCTTCCTGTGTGATTTATTTCGCAATTGTCGTATATACAGGAATCCGTCCACGAGTAGGACCACAGCATGTAGTCTAGCTCGAGTCTCCAGACTTGCCGCACCCCAATTGCCGGGCTGCGAGCCTCCCTCATTAAATAGCCGCATGCACTAAACCACCACCAACCCGCTTGTACTACACCGAGTTACGCCTATTCCACTCCACTCTCCTGCACGAATAATCACATACATACCTTAGTCCTCGTGTGGATCCCCATCTGCCGCAACCAGTCGCCCTGGCTCATAGGCCCGTACGTCGCACACGTGTCACTGCACACCTTGGCCACGGCCTGGAAGCTAACATCGGCCGTGAGATCGATTTCTCCTGGCTCGTGCTCTACGATGTCTTCAATCATCACGTGGGCTTTGTAGCCGCGTACCGTGGGTGTGCGCTTGGGTTCTTTGTTGCCGTAGTCGACTATCAACGCCATGCCGTCATCTGTGCACATACCCGGTGAACACCTTATTAGCGGTACATCGAGCGTATAGCCAGACCAACGTTTGCCGAGAAATCCCAGGTTTACATAGCTCGGATACACTTGCCGCACTGTGGTTCGCATCGGAGTGTATCCCCAAGTTTGAAACCAAGCAACGCTAACGTGGGAAGTCATTCAGATCGCATCGCTGGGTCTAACTCGAACAGAGCGCAACATACCTTTCACAGCCTGAGCTATCTGGTGTGCCGTGTGTAGCGAATCCGGAGACACTTCGTACACATCTCCCTCTTTGTACTTGCCTGACGGACCCAGCGAACGAGAGGAGGCGGTGGCACTTGGAGCTAAAACCCATTGGAACTTATCTATACCCAAATGTGAGTATGTATATACATAGTTATGGTGTGAATTGATAGTTGTGAAATCACCGAAAAATTGCCTTTCATGTATGTATGAAAGTGGTCTATGTTTAAAATAAAAATCTATATCTCACGTTGTGGACTGTTCCGTTCAAGAAAGTGCAACGCTGCATAAGAGAAGATGGTAAGTGCAAGAAATATAAATCGATATGTCCTTGTGTAAAAGTGACTATCTCTCTCAGGCGCATTTGTGCAATTTCTGGTTGAGTCTTGAAAAACGAGACTGATGAATATAAAGTGTGCACACATATGTTTATGCATTCCTTGAGTATATGTAAGATATATTAACTCATGCCTGCATGCAGACGCGAACATACACCTAAACATTGTGTATGTGTTCGTCCATGTTTTCGTAAATATAAACGTGTGCGTGTGTGGACATAAAGTAGGTGAAATTATATGTGCGTACGAATATAAGCGATACATGCTCAGTTATGACTTTATGGGTCCGTACATTGTGAGCACTCCCATAAATCTAGATAGAATACCAGTGTGTGGTTATAAATTAAAGGTTTCTTTGTGTGTATCCTTGTGCATGTACGACATGTGATAAGCCATACACGTCGATAGAATAGGTTGGAAAACCGAGTACTTGAAGGTTTAATTTTTACTGTCCACATTGTATCACTCAAACAGAAGTCAATATTTATGACAAGTTGTGTATGAGACACTAAGACACTACAGCCCTTGGCAATATCTGAGTCTTGATATACAGCGGCTATTTAGCAACAGTTTTGTCTCCCCACACAAAGCTGCAGAACATATGAATAAACTGATACATTTACTCACAATATTCTCAAGTCGATAGCTCATTGGCTTGGTCCAGAGTAGGAAAAATACCTACCTTTATCATCCAGCCCAATCATTCGTTCCCTCCAGCCGTCACGGGTGTATACAAACTGGTGCACGGGGAGAGCGTCTAAGAACTCATGTGCCACTATCATGGGAAATCCTTTGATGTCGATATCCTCGAACTTTCTGTACCACTGATGTGCGTGCGATACATTTACCTGTTAGTATGGCGCATTTCTCCATGCGTTCTCAGGTGCCTGCATTTTATTTAGCCGCACATATCCATTGCTTTGTTAGACACAATTTCAATCGCGACTGGAAAACAAGCGCAAGGCATGAGGCCCTACACAAATGCCCAACGATCACTCGAATAGGATGGGACGGCTGAGACTGATAATACGACATCCGCTGCATACCTGCACATTTACACCAGCGGGTGTCTGACGAGTCACAGATGTCCCTTCTTCAGTTGGAGCTTCTTCGTTGGGCTGCGTAACGCCCAGTGTTTGTGCTTGGGTCTTTGCCAGAAACGGGCTCATCTCCACAAAGTGCACGTTAACTTTGTTGCTCATCTGCGGAATGCGGTTGAATATCTTGAGGATGTCTGCCATTAGTGTACCTCTCCCCGGACCGAGCTCGATCAGGTCGACACTGTGCGTACAATTGAAAGAATTTCATACAACTGTGAGCTATCAAATGAAAAATGTAGCAATGGCTCTGGAAACTACTTGTCAGATCTAACATACCATATCAAATACGAATACGCGGATGATAATATGTTGCGACACTCATAACCCGATAGTTACACAAGCAAGCAAGATAAGCTATTCCCAAACGCCGATTAGATTGGCACACCACATTGTGTGTCATATTCTTGCACTGCGCCTGCAACACACCGCATTGTAGTAGTAGTAGTATATATATATATACCTGCCCACACCTACGTCGAATGTTTGCTTGGAAATTGCTGCCACTGATTAACGAAGTGTATGCCCACAAGCTCTCCGAAGACCTGCGATATCTCTGGACTAGTGACAAAATCGCCGTCATGACCGAACACATTGCGAGTCATGTAGTACCCATCCTTTCCATTCGACAGGCATTCCTTCATATATGATGCCACTGTGCGGAGATGCAACTATAACATGAGTGTTTAAAATGTAGGTTGTCGAATTTCGGAGACTGAATAGTGGAATGAGTGGCTACCTCTTGTACGACTCTCAGCCATATGCAAATCATACGTCCGAATTTTCTAGTACAAGCACTGAAACCTATCGCCATAACGTCGCACTTCGTATCTAAACGTTTAACCACTGTACTATTTCGCAATACCAATACCTATACAATAAATTTTATACATATATACATATTTATATATATATTTATTTATATATATATATATATATATATATATATATATATATATATGT